CAGTGGTTTAGCGATTCGATTCAAAATGGCCGACTGGCAGCCATCTTGTTTTTTGAAAATGTTGTATTTTGGACATGCTTTGTCAGTTGTCATTCAAACTTGGTACATAGATTATACATGTTAGGATACATGTCCATGATGGATCAAAGATGGTCGACTGGCAGGCATCTTTTTTTTGTTTTTTTATGCGGTATCTTGGACGTGCTCTGTCAGTTTTCATTCAAATTTGGCACATACATGTACTTTATACATGTTAGGATGCATATCCATGACATTTTGTTTCAAAATCTGGTCAAGGATGGCCGATTGATAGCCATCTGACTTTTTGGCCTTACTACTATATTTCCACAATTTATGTACCATTTTCATTCGTATTTGGCACATACATCATACATATCAGTGTGTTTCATAATCAGATCAAAGATGGCTGAATAACGGCTGTTTTTATTTTGGCCATATTACTATGACACGAAACACGTGTTTTGATGTAAATAAACAATCTGTTGTATACGCCACTTGGAACTCAAGTTTCAAGGACACGCTCGCAACAACCCCTCCGCTTTAATATGACGAGCACAAAGAGAACTTAACGGGGACTGTGTCATTTTCAATGACTTGTTTATCAAGATGTATTCCAAGATTGTATCTAGATTCTCAATAGGCAAAGTTGTAATAGTTATGCTATGTTATAATTTTCCAAATGAGCAAAACTCTTTTTTGGGGGGGCGCTAATATACAGCATTTAATATTTGATAGGTTGTTATGTTGATGCTGAAGATAGAAGTTATAGTGATGGTGAATCCTGGAAAGATCCATCAAATGAATGTATAACATGTACATGTTCTGTGAGTATATCATATGCATATATTATGAGGTCATAGGTCAGGGGTCAGGGTAGATTTTCATATTCTATATTTTGTTCACTTATCTGATTCTTTCAATAATTTTAATTAACTTCCTGACAGAATTAGAAAAAAATTCTGGTGAGAGGATTACTTTATTTCTGGAAATTTATTTAGAAATAAATATGCATGCAACCTAGACTAGAACATGACAATATTTGTTATTTTGATTCACACTATAAGTGTAAATCTTAGTAGTTGTGCTATATTGTACATTTTACATTACAGGCTGGTGTTATTGAGTGTAAAATTGAAGTGTGTGATAGACTCAATTGTCAACAAGGATTTGAAGTGTATCTTCCTCTGGGAAAGTGTTGTCCATATTGTAGAGGTATGTTAGAATTTTTTTCTATATCTCCATCCATCCATCCATCCACTACACAAAGCCATCTGCACATCCAATACAATAACCAGTGTTCTCCCAGAAAATTGTCTTAGGTTTGTGGCTAAGTTACTGTATACAATGACACCCATTATTTAATTACCAAGAATATACCATCACAGGTACAATCCAGCAGGGTATAGGACCTTTTTGTTATCGTTCTGATTGTTGGTTTGCCTGTACTGAAGTGAAAAGAAATATCATAGTAGTGGTGAAATGTCTGTCGTCAATCATCTTCATCATAATTGTTATCATTGTAAACTTTTCTTGTGGGCGTAATAACTCCAATAATATTTAGCCGATAAACAATCCTTCCCAAACCCATCCATCTTACCATTCATAAACCAACCCACCCATTCAATCATTTACTAACCTATCCCTTCTTCCATCTATCCTTAAAGCCATGTAAGGTAATAACAAACACTGTCATTTCTATTTCAGACATAAATATTCCATGTCAATTTGGTGGTATCACATATCAGGTAGGTATGACTTGTCTATATTGGATGGAGTTCCAAAACGAACACTTACATGTTTTGGTTGTTTGTCCATGTGGCTAACATCATTTCTCTGACATGCCTGGGCTATACAAAAGACACAGTAATGACTGTATACATACATCTATGAATTTGTCTTCCTTTTACTGACCATTTAACAACTGGACATTTTCGGGGGTTCACTGAGGTATGTATGGAGATCAAAATAGGTACTCTGCGCTGGCGCATTTTCCAAAATAAGCATTGTGCACCGTTACTCTGCTTCGTATTCTACGCCCATCATTCTGTGCCATCGAGAAAATTCATACTGTACCCCATTCTGTATTCAAGCTTTTTAAAAATGAAAAATCCTAGACTCCTAGATTTTCAAGCCTGCCTATCAACGCAATTGGGAGGTTTTCGTGTGAAATACTGTAAAGTTATATAACATTTGTAAGGATATCGAAATGTACAAAGCTATTGGAAACAAATAAATTAAAGTAATCGGCTAGCTATAATTAGACAAAATCTGCAGATGAAAATGCCAAAATTTCTCGTTTCCAAAGGGGTAGCGTGACATTGAGTTAGACATATTGATATGCAAATGAATAATCTGAGAAACAAACAGGGGTGAAGACTAACTACTAAGTGTTTGTAAACACTCATTGCGAGAGAAATAGCGCTCGATAACACATCATACATGCTTACACACCCAATTACGGGCTATCAACAGCAAATTCTAAGGTCATAAAGCCATGAAAACAAACATTTTCTTTGAGAGTGCCTGAATTATTAGAACAAAAACAGAAATTATATTTCTGGTATATGATTTGAGTGGTTGAATCATAAAAACGAGAAAGACAATAATTTTGAGAAAAAAAGGTGCCGAAGGCCATTATTGCACCACACAGTAAGCATGAATTCAACCATTTGTGGTCTCACGTCATTTCCAGACAGTTTGAAATTTTTGGAAAAACGTCTTTTTTTTTTTAAGATATTTGTGAAACTAAAACACTTCAATGTTCTTTTAAATAGTATGGTACAAGTAAAAATTATGACAATTTGAACAACAGATGTTTTATTTTCTCGAAAACGGGCAAAACATAATATGCTGACCCAAAGCAAGTCGACGAAGTCATTTCCGGTCCTGTGGATTTTCAGACTGTTCGAAAATTTCGGAACAATAACTTTTGAACACTGATTTGCTCAACTAACAAACGCTAATGTTGAAAATCATCATAAAGTCATCATAAAGAATAATAATAATAAGTTGGCGTTTTCCGAATAGCCAGTACGGAAAATGTCCTACATGTATATACACTTTGTCTTAACCTTTCCTGTTTATTATTCAAATTGCAATCATTCAAACAAAAGAGATGCAAATATCAACATTACCAGTGGTGGTGAATAAACATAGCATTGTCTTTGAAACTTTTACGCACAAATTAAACTTGAGTTGTTTATTTTTAACCAACTTACATGACATTCGATGTTATTTCGACTTCCACATTTGAAAATTTAGAGTACATTTCATAAATCAAGAAATATTGTGAGATAATATTATCAAAATAGTAAGAGGTATGAAGCCGTGCTAATTACAGATTGTGTGTGTGAAGCCATGAGCACATCTGTTTTTGTACAATAGTAAATTGCAAATACTCGCAAGCGTCATATAAAACAACATTGCATTGCTTTTCAATGGCACAGATTGACAGCCCAAATAGTGGGCAATTTTGATAAAAAGGACTGTAAAAATAAAAGATAACAAATTTAAACAATGTTTAAACTTCATAATAATTGACCTATATTGCGTCCTTGAAAACAAAAATAGTTTGTATGTGAATGAAGAGCGCAGAATGATTCTTTGTTGGTCCCCGTTCGGACACAGTCTGAAAACGGGGACTTATGTTTTGACTCTGTGCGTCTGTGCGTCCGTATCTGTACCTGTATCTTAGGAATGCCTGAACCAATCACAGTCAAACTTCACAAATACATCATACATGATAATATACATATGCACGTCAATTTGTTTCACGATCTGATTCAAGATGGCCGAATGGCGGCCATTTTTGTTCTAAAAATCATCAAAATCAAGCATTTCTCAGCTGTTTACAGATGGATTTTGTTCAAACTTGGTATATATGTTGGACATTATAAGACCTTGATGCACATTATTTTGTTTTCAGATAAGATTCAAAATGGCCGACTGGCGGCCATTTTGTTTTAATAAATGTGGTTCTAGAGCCATATCTCTGACTTGCTGTGACTGATTATGTTCAAATTTTAAATATTCATTATACATCATGTCATAGATATACAGATATATTGGTTTGACGATCTTATCAAAAAAGGCCGAATAGTGGCCATTTTTGTGCTAAAAAATCATCAAAATCAAGCATTTCTCGGCTGTTTACAGATGGATTTTGTTCAAACTTGGTATATATTTTGGACATTATAGGACCTTGATGCACATCATTTTGTTTTTTCAGATAAGATTCAAAATGGCCGACTACGGCTATTTTGTTTTAATGAATGTGGTTCTAGTGCCATATCTCTGACTTGCTGTGACTGATTATGTTCAAATTTTATATATTCATTATACATGTATTCAAAATGGCTGATTTTGTTTTAATTAATGCTGTTCCAGAACAATATCTCTCAATACTCGTTTGACGATCAAATACAAATGTCAATCATTTAAATGTTCATAATCATAATCATATTCCTGACATGTTTATGTTCCAGCTTATTACTATAAACGAAACTATATATCTTAAATTCAATAACTAACGGGGACTGTGCCATGCATGGCTTGTTTCCAATACTTTCGTATTTTTCTATGCGCCTACAAATGTTATAACAGTATTTCACATATTTCGATGGTGTTGCTAAACAGACTTGAAAGTCATTGCCATAATTTCTTTTTTAACCCAGAATGGGGCACAGTATGAAATTTTCTCGATGGCACAAAATGAGGCACGCAGAATGATGGCACAACTATTGGGCGCACAATGCTTATTTTGGGAAATGCCCCGCCGCATTCCGGTTGCGCATAGTACCGATTTTGAGCCTCGCACATACCTCATTCACTGGTGGGTTTATATTGTGCTTTTGTTGGAGATGAACTTTAAGTGGAAATACAATATAAAACAAAGTGATTTCACAGAGCATTCAGATCATACTCAGATTTCCATCTGACTATTTTATGATATTTATACACTATGACATGCCTTGACTGATTTTGTTCAAAGTTGTTACAAATACAAGACGTATTTTTGTGTCTTGAAATGTTAACTGAGCAAAATACAAATATAGACTTTATACTTCAGCCAAAAGAAAGATGGATTAAAGATGAATGTACAAACTGTGAATGTAAAGCTGGTGAAGTAAGATGTGTTACGACAAGATGTCCTCCTATTTCATGCTTTGCTGTGAGTATTCTAATGTTATCAACATATTATTAAATTTTAATGGTGTACATTTGAGGATAGTGTGATAGCGCCCTCAAATGGACTAATTATCAGTCACTTTGTTTATTGGTCCCGGGTGCAAATCTGTCAAATCAGTTCAGTCATACTATTCGTAGCAGAACTAAAATTCATCATCAATATAATTTATTGGACTGTACACTTTACCAAAATCTGATAAAGTCAGTCTTGTTAGTTATTCGCAAAACCTATTCTACGCTAGAACATTGACAACCGTCATGTTGAGTGTGGCAGCAAAGAAAACCGGAGCAAAATCTCGTGGAAGACCCAGAAAAAAACCCACCGTAAGCGTCAATGAAGGAAGCGCTACCAGAAGTAGGGTGAGCCCCGACGTGGGCGCAAATTTGACATCCAAGATACTGTTCGAGTTCAAGACTCTAAAACATGAAGTCCAGCAACTACGTAACGAAATGTATGGTGACGGGCACGGGAATCAGCCCAGGAATCAACAACAGAGTGAAATCCTTGGAGAATTTGAAACAAATTCGCACGCTAAAATGGTGGCATCGAATCAAAGTTACAATATTCCTCAATTACAACAGATGGCTACCGCTGATGTCCAACTACAACACGATATGCAGGAAGCCCAACACCAGTACATCCCTAGTTTCATGAATCTGTCTGGCGGAACTAACGCAAAATTTGGTAAGTCACAACGCTTTCAGACTAGAAAGGACAATGCAACTTTTACCGTATCATGGCCGCATATGACAGCCCAACCCTGCCCATTCGGTGCTGGCAAAGAGATTAGTTTTGACTCTATGACAATCAGCGAATTCGTGGAGGGTTTTACGGCAATTCTGATGTCTTAATCATTGAGTGAAACTGAGAAGAATTTACATCTTCAGCACCTCAATATGCTAATGAGATTTGCGTCAGTCTACCCGTGGGACGCAGTTATAAAATACCACGACGCGTTTCTGCAGGACATTGAATACGGACGATGTACATGGGAAAGTGATGGTCATGACTTGAAGGAACTTTATTTATATCCACGTGCAAGTGAGACAAAGTCAGCAAAATTGAATAAGTTAAAGTCAGGCACCTCTACTTCAGGAAGGGAAATGCGGTGATGGACACTCGTGCAAATACAAACATATATGCAGCGCATGTTATAAGTTGCGAAAGTTGATAGAAGACCACCCCTGATTGAGATGTCCATATAACGATCCTAAAGTAGGAGCAGAGAAAGCAAACCAACAAGAAAAGAAAATTCAGGTCAGCAAGTCATTCAAGTATACCAGTAACAGTAAACACAAAAATCGAAAATGTGACAAAACATATTATTATATTTTAATGACATTGAATACAGTGTGTGATGATAAAATGTTATTAGCAAACTCTTGTTCCAGTTTGAAAAGTAAAATTTAGAAATATTTATAAAAATGAAAGAAATGTGTTTGTTGTGTCGAAAGTCTAGACAGTTTTAGTTGCTGTATTTTAGAAAAAAATTGTTCAATATTTAGTTTGATTTAAAAAGTGTAGATTTAAATAAATGTTATTATAATATTCTGTATTGTGATATCAGTAGCTGTCATTGTATCATAATGATCATTTGATATCATTGATGTCATTGTATCATAATGATCATTTGATATCATTGCTGTCATTGTATCATAATGATCATTTGATATCATTTGCTGTCATTGTATCATAATGATCATTTGATATCATTGATGTCATTGTATCATAATGATCATTTGATATCATTGATGTCATTGTATCATAATGATCATTTGATATCATTACAGTCATGGTACCATAATGGACACTTGATATCATTGCAGTCATGGTACCATAATGGACATTTGATATCATTGCAGTCATGGTACCATAATGGACATTTGATATCATTGCTGTCATTGTGTCATAATGATCATTTTATATCATAGCTGTCATTGTATCATAATGATCATTTTATATCATTGCAGTCATGGTACCATGATGGACATTTGATATCATTGCAGTCATGGTACAATAATGGTCATTTGATATCATTGCTGTCATTGTATCATAATGATCATTTGATATCATTTGCTGTCATTGTATCATAATGATCATTTGATATCATTGCTGTCATTGTATCATAATGATCATTTGATATCATTGCTGTCATTGTGTCATAATGATCATTTTATATCATTGCAGTCATGGTACCATAATGGACATTTGATATCATTGCAGTCATGGTACCATAATGGACATTTGATATCATTGCTGTCATTGTATCATAATGATCATTTGATATCATTGTATCATAATGAGCATTTGATGTCATGGTACCATAATGATCATTTTATATCATTACAGTCATGGTACCATAATGGACATTTGATATCATTGCTGTCATTGTATCATAATGATCTTTTGATATCACTTGCAGTCATTGTATCATAATGATCATTTGATATCATTGCAGTCATGGTACCATAATTGACATTTGATATCATTGCAGTCATTGTATCATAATGATCATTTGATATCATTGCTGTCATTGTATCATAATGATCATTTGATATCATTGCAGTCATGGTATCATAATGATCATTTGATATCATTGCAGTCATGGTACCATAATGGACATTTGATATCATTGCTGTCATTGTATCATAATGATCATTTGATATCATTGCAGTCATGGTACCATAATGGACATTTGATATCATAGCTGTCATTGTATCGTAATGATCATTTGATATCATTTGCTGTCATTGTATCATATTGATCATTTGGTATAATTGCTGTCATTGTATCATAATGATCATTTGATGTCATTGCAGTCATGGTACCATAATGGACATTTGATATCATTGCAGTCATAGTACCATGATTTACATTTGGTATCATTGCTGTCATTGTATCATAATGATCATTTGATATCATTGCAGTCATGGTACCATAATGGACATTTGATATCATTGCAGTCATGGTACCATAATGGACATTTGATATCATTGCAGTCATGGTACCATAATGGACATTTGATATCATTGCAGTCATGGTACCATAATAGACATTTGATATCATTGCTGTCATTGTATCATAATGATCATTTGATATCATTTGCTGTCATTGTATCATAATGATCATTTGATATCATTTGCTGTCATTGTATCATAATGATCATTTGATATCATTACAGTCATGGTGTCATAATGATCATTTGATATCAGTGCAGTCATGGTACCATAATGGACATTTGATATCATTGCAGTCATGGTGTCATAATGATCATTTGATATCAGTGCGTCATGGTACCATAATGGACATTTGATATCAGGTGCTATCATTGTACCACAATGATCATTTGATATTAGTTGCAATCATTGTACCCTAATGAACATTTGATATTAGTGCAGTCATTGTACCATAATGATCATTTGATACCAGGTGCTGTCATTGTACCACAATAATCATTTGATATCAGTTGCAATCATTGTACCCTAATGGTCATTTGATATCAGTGCAGTCACTGTACTATAATGATCATTTGATGTCAGGTGCTATCATTGTACCATAATGATCATTTGATATTAGTTGCAATCTTTGTATCATAATGATCATTTGATATCAGGCGCTGTCATTTATCATAATGGAAATGTGTGTCAAGTGTGTACCTCTGTGTATGTGTGTGCGTGCGTGAGTCCTTTATCTTAGACATGCCTGAACCAATTACATTCAAATTTCACACATACATAATATTATACATATGCACATCAATTTGTTTGATGATCTGATTTAAAGTGGCCAAATGGTAGCCATTTTTGAGTGTAAAAATTAGCAAAATCAAGCATTTCTGGCATTCCCCAACTGGATTCTAGTCATTTGTTGACGGTTTTCATTTCAACTTGGTACACACATTGAACATTTTAGGACTTCTATGCACATCGCTTTGTTTTGCAGATCGGATTCAAAATGGCTAACTGGAACCATTTTGTTTTCATGAATGCAATTCTAGAGCCATATATCTTACATGCTTTGACTTATTATATTCGGATTTCATATATTTATTATACATCATGTCATAGATATACAGATGTAATGATTTGAGGATCTGATTTAAAATTGGCCAAGCGGTGGGCATTTTGCTGTTCCAGAGCAATATCTCTCAATATGAATAAGTACTCTTTTGACGATCAGATACAAAGATGACTGAATGTCATTTTAATGTTAAAAAATCATCATAAAGCAAGCATCAGCTTCTGGATCCATATCTCTGACATGTTTATGTTCAAACTATATTTCGATAAACAAAACAATATATCTTAAATGTGATAGCTATCAGGAACTATGCAATGCTTGGCTTGTTTTTAGCTCCGCTGTTGACATTGTCGAGCGGAGTTTATCATATGAGTGATTGTCCGTCGTCCGTGTCAATGTTTTACTTTTTCGACTTCTTCTTGAGAACTACAAGCCTGAATGCTTTGATACTTGGTGTATATGTACCTTGGGTAGACCTCTCTTGTTCATTTCATGATGATATCTTCAATTCTCTAATTTTGGTGAATATTTTTGTAATTTTTGGTAAAAAGTGATATTTACGACTTCTTGTTGAAAACCGCAAGTCCAATTGCTTTGATATTACATATATAGGTACTACATGTGGACCTGTCTCAGATTTGTTCATTTTGTAATGATATCTTTAATTCTCTAATTTTGGTAAATATTTTTGTTAAAAAGTGATATTTTCAACTTCTTGTTGAAAACCACAAGTCCAATTGCTTTGATATTACATACATAGGTACTACATGTGGACCTCTCTCAGATTTGTTCATTTTGTAATGATATCTTTAACTTTCTAATTTTGGTGAATATTTTTGTCATTTTTGTTAAAAAGTGATATTTTCAACTTCTTGTTGAAAACCACAAGTCCAATTGCTTTGATATTACATATATAGGTACTACAAGTGGACCTGTCTCAGATTTGTTCATTTTGTAATGATATCTTTAATTCTCTCATTTTGGTGAATATTTTTGTCAGTAATTTTTGATAAAAAGTGATATTTTGGACTTCTTGTTGAAAACCGCAAGTCTGATTGCTTTTATATTACATATATACATGTAGGTACTACATGTGGACCTCTTTCAGATTTGTTCATTTCGTGGTGATATCTTCAATTACTTAATTTTGATGATTATTTTTGGTGAAAAGCGATATTTTTGAATTCTTGTTGAAAACAGCAAGTCCAATTGCTTTGATACTATAAATATTGTTCATTTTCTAATGATATCTTCTGTACTTTAATTGAAATGTGCATTGCTAACAGCGGAGCTATCTCAGCCGACAGGCTGCTTGTTTTTTTTTTAGTTTTTAAAAAATTACAATAAAAAATATTACAAATTACAAAAAGTTCAAATATAATTAAATCTAATAAATGTGATGTGGTCACTCTTGTTTAATTGTAGGATGAAACTCCAGCCATTACTCCTGGTGTTTGTTGTCCAAGTTGTGTGTCTAGTAAGTATTGTGTGTCTAGTAAGTATTGTGTGTCTAGTAAGTATTGTGTGTCTAGTAAGTATTGTGTGTCTAGTAAGTATTGTGTGTCTAGTAAGTATTGTGTGTCTAGTAAGTAATGTGTGTCTAGTAAGTATTGTGTGTCTAGTAAGTATTGTGTGTCTAGTAAGTATTGTGTGTCTAGTAAGTATTGTGTGTCTAGTAAGTATTGTGTGTCTAGTAAGTAGTGTGTGTCTAGTAAGTAGTGTGTGTCTAGTAAGTAGTGTGTGTCTAGTAAGTAGTGTGTGTCTAGTAAGTAGTGTGTGTCTAGTAAGTAGTGTGTGTCTAGTAAGTAGTGTGTGTCTAGTAAGTAGTGTGTGTCTAGTAAGTAGTGTGTGTCTAGTAAGTAGTGTGTGTCTAGTAAGTAGTGTGTGTCTAGTAAGTAGTGTGTGTCTAGTAAGTAGTGTGTGTCTAGTAAGTAGTGTGTGTCTAGTAAGTAGTGTGTGTCTAGTAAGTAGTGTGTGTCTAGTAAGTAGTGTGTGTCTAGTAAGTAGTGTGTGTCTAGTAAGTAGTGTGTGTCTAGTAAGTAGTGTGTGTCTAGTAAGTAGTGTGTGTCTAGTAAGTAGTGTGTGTCTAGTAAGTAGTGTGTGTCTAGTAAGTAGTGTGTGTCTAGTAAGTAGTGTGTGTCTAGTAAGTAGTGTGTGTCTAGTAAGTAGTGTGTGTCTAGTAAGTAGTGTGTGTCTAGTAAGTAGTGTGTGTCTAGTAAGTAGTG